GGACAGCAGCGTCAGTAGCGTCAGCAGGAGACCCTCTCGCCGCAGCAGCTTCGTGAGTAAGTTTCTCATTGACGCGTCCCTGGTAGTGCGGAGGCTACTAGTTTAGGTGCCTGTGAGCCTGGTAGCACAGGTGCAACTTCTGTGGAGGCCTTGCACACCTTCACGCGTGACTCAGGCGCGACTCGCTGCTTCTTCCGCGACTTGCACCACAGTCACACCGCTCACTGCACCTGTCCCGGTCTCTCTAGCTGACCCCTCTGGTGGTCCAGTCGTAGCACGTGCCTACACCATTCTCCCGTGTCCGGCGGCCCCTTCAGGCTCGCTTGCAGGTCTCTACCTCCCCTTGTTCACTACGAACTTGGTGAATAACGCTGTCCTCCAAGACCAGTTTGTTATTAGAGGCAGAGACAGCGGGGCGGTTGGGAGACGTGCCACCAAGCGATTTTACGCAAGTACACCGAGGCGGGTTACCCAGTGCCGCAGATGTGTATTGGAACCTGAGGGGGGATGCTTCTGCGAGCAGCACGCCGGTGGCTGCAAGCGAGGATGGGGTGGCGCTGGTGTCTGGGTTCAGCAAGGGGATGCTGCTGGCCGTGCTGGAAGGCAAGGAGCTCTCTTCCCCATGATAGTGCTCGAGGAGGCCAGATCAGGGCTTACGGTAGCACAAGTAGAATTGATTGGACTAACAGGAGAGTGACACGAATAGCAAACCTTGAAAGTGTTTTACACACTAATGAGCAACTCAATCTACGGTGGCTTAACACTACAGCAAATATAATTTGACAATGGGGCCCAAAACAGGGCCCTCGTTATCAGACGAATTTGGTCTGAATTTCTGATTTCCAGACGTGATTTTTTGTATTCATCTGATTTCTAAGAAATTCTGTTTTTCCTCATCTGAGGAGCAAGACAAAGGCTTTACGTTCGTATGATTTTCCAGACCATGTAGAATACTTCGTCCGATTTTACAGATATCGAGTTTGGTTTCGTCTGAAACCGACAATTCTGCCCACTAGGCCATAGGACCACTAGGCCATATGCCCAGTAGACCAAAGGACCACATGTACAAGTATCGTTGCTGCCCTGTACCTGCACGCGCATTCAATGTGCGTGTCTTGTAGCAGCCTCGCTGTCACGAACCTGCGGCATTTGCTGCCAGGAGACTGTCGTGTAGCTGGCTGTCGGCGCCGACGCCAGCAGCCACGGCAACGCGCTGTCACATTGTGCCAGCCAGCGCACTTCCCTTTCCTACACGTTAGGTAAAAAAGGACGGTGGTTGTCCTGTCCCCCGCTGCCATCCCGCATCGCCCTTTGATGTACACTGCACGATGACGGGGGGGTCTCATGCAGCTGAGCGAGGCTTGTTAAACAGGCTGTTTGTGGAGCTCGTTCTCCTCACCTTTCACCCAGCCGAGCATGGTCTGTTTCCCTCGTCACATCTTCTTTCATCTAGTTTAGGCTATGGCCGACCCCACCGCTCCTGCGCCAGGGGTTTCGGCGTTAGACTTCCTAACGCGGGGCAAGCCGATCGCCCATGTTGCCCCACCAATTGCTTCAACCTCTGCTGCGGTACCTACGCCCATTGACGATGCGCCATTGTCGGAAAATGGCGATAACTCTGTGCCATCGACCGCTACACCTACTACGCCTGTATCTACTTGCATGCCGTCCTGCGGTGCCGATAACAACGTCCGTGTAGTATCTGACGCTCCCAACTCCTCTCTCAGGGCTAACCCCGTCTTGCCCGACAGGTCATCAAACGGGCGGTACAAGCAGCGTGTTCTGAACTTCGCGCGTCCGGGCGGTCCGACACAGCCGGCACCGTCTGTTGAGACGTGACCCGTGGCTCCCGAACCCGCGGCTAAAGATTTCGAGGACCCCAAAGGCAAGAAGCTGTCGGTTGAGGAGCTTCAGCTGAAGTGCAAGGAGCAGTGGCAGCGGTATTTTCCCTGGCTATTCATCTCCGAAACCAAGGATGGCCGACCCTGCATGCGCTGCAGCGTCTGCATGGTTTTCGCCGACCCCCACTCCAAGTACGGGCGCTACGGTGTTGGTGGCATCGACATTCAGAAGTAGACGATGCGCAAGCATCACCACAGCCTGAAGCATGAGGCGGCGGTCCTGCAGAAGGAGCAACGTGACGGAGCGAAGAAAGGACAGAAGTCCATTGTGGACTTTCACCAACGGGACGAGGAGGTCAAGCGCCTTGCTCGTCTGATGTCGATTGTTTTGTTCATTTGCAAGTCTGACGCACCCATTGTGCTCTTCGTGTCACTCGTCCAGTTCATGGCTGAGCAGGGGACGCCGGATCTGCCCCTCAAGGAGAACGGGACGTACTACAGCGAGTAAGTGTCCCGTCTTTCACGTTTTGTGGTTTGTTTTCTTATATTTGCTAACGAGAACATTCCTTGTTCCAGGTACGGTTTCGCACAACTGGTCGAGACTATGGTGTGCTACCTCAAATCCCGACAGTTGAAACACATCCGCGACAGTCCTTACCTCGGTATCCAGCTGGACGAGAGCACCGACCGACGAAAGGGAAAACACATGATCGTCTACATGACGTTCATGCGTGACAACGCTCCCGTCACTGAGTTCTACGCATTGCTGACTGTGGAGCAGTGTGACGCCGCTTCGCTCACGACCGTTCTCCTTACCCACTTGGAGTGTAGCGGCATCGACCTCCAGCGAATCTCCGGCATGAGCACTGATGGAGCTAGTGGCATGATCGGCCAGCACAATGGAGTGACCGCGCGCCTCAAAGATAAGGTTCCACATATCGTGTCGTCGCACTGCATCGCGCATAGGCAAGTGTTATCGTGATTAAGGGAACATGCGGGCTTGTTCTGTACATGATTTATAACGTATCGTTACATGTAACTTTTCTTATTTTTTGCAGGGAGGTCTTGGCGGCCAAAGATGCAGCCATCAAACACCCGGATTTTAACGTCGTGGACAAAGTGGTTCGCGCCGTTGCTGAGAACCTCGGTCGTTCTTCGGTCGTCCACTCACGCTTTATTGAGCTGCAGGAGGTAATATGCGAGACCAACCTCGAAGTTCAAGGAATCAAGGACGTCCGATGGTTGTCTCGCGGTCAAGCTCTCGAGCGCTTGGTAAAAGTCTTTCCGGCGGCAGTGTTTGTCTTGCACGAGTACGACAATAAGATGTATAAAGTCATCACTAGCTACAAGTTTCAATTCATGCTGTTTTTCCTGGCGGATGTGCTGAAGGATCTCAACTTTCTGAGCTTGAAGTTCCAGCGTCGCCAGGTGAGCGTGTGTTAGTCATTACAAGCAGCGGTTGTTTACAACCCCACGCGGAGTACTAACCTCTCTTGTGCTTCGTTTCAGGTTGACGCGACCCATGTGCTGCCGATGGTACACAACACGACCTTGCTGCTGCGCACTCGTTACCTCGACGCCGACGACGAATCTTTTGGCCAGGGCGGAGATGCTTTGGGCCCCTTCCTTAAGAAGCACGCGTCCAGGGAATGCCGAGAGGTGAAGCTGGCTGGCACATCGTCCGACGGAACTTCGACCGACCTTACCTACACACTCCACGAGAAGCCCATCAAGGGGCAGAAGACCGGTGCGGACCACGGTGCGTGTTTGGAGTTGGCGCGCGCGTTCGTGGCGACCTTGATCGGCAGGCTCGATCACCGCCTCAAGGACCTCGCCAACCTCGACGGGGCGAAGCTGTTCAAGCAGGGGTCGTATCCCAAGAACCAGTCCAAGCGAGAGCGGAAACTTGGACAGTGGCTGCAGTCGCTGCGCAATATGTTTAAGAAGAAGCCTGAAGACCCCGACACCATACCAGGTGCGTAAAATACTTGAAATTCTTAGCCTATGTGATTATTGCTAAACCAGATTACCGCATGGCACGCTTTACCTGAATGTTTCATTTCGGTTGCACCTACTTCCCATTGCGAACCACACCCCGCAGGCATCAACTGGGCGCGCGCGCAGAGGGAAATCGTCACGTTCTCTACGATCATGGCCACACACCTGGAGGATGTGGGCTTCGCCGACAGCCTGAAGCTGATGCTGTCTTCTCCCGACTGGACGACGTGCTGCCCGAATCTCGTGCACTTGTGGATCGCCGTCGCCGTTCTTCCGCTCAGCACGGTTGAGTGCGAGCGCGGCTTCTCACGGCAGAATGTGATCAAGAGCTGGCTTCGCGGGAACCTGTGTGACGCGAAGCTAGGGGAGCTGATGACCATCTCGCTTCTCAGCTATGACATGGAGTGGCCCGAGTTATCGAGGAGGTTCAACGCTTCAAAGAAACGAAGGCCTGCCAAGGATGTGCTGATGGCTTCCGGGGAGAGACAAAGCAAGCGCGCGAAGAAAAGATCTGCCTCAGCAGCAGCAGCAGCCGCAGCATTGGCAGCAGCAGAAGTTGCAGCCCGAGAAGCAGCCTTAGCAGCAGAAGCCGCAAGGCTTGATGCAGAATTCCCCTGGCTCAGTCGGAAAGATAGGGGAAAAGCTCCTGACCCTTTTGCGGAGAGCGAGGATGACCTTGATGAGGACGACAGCGCTGGTAGTGACTCTGACTGACTAGGTTGCTTGCTAGCTAGTAATCTAGGATGTGCTAACTGCTTAACATATTGATAGGATGTAATGCTTAGCTAGGCTAAGTAGAAAAACCTACATATTATTACTGTGTAAGGTTCAGACCGGGGATTTTTTTCGTCTGTAAGATCAGACTATGTAGAATTTTCCGTCTTTACTTTAAGACAACTGAAAGTTGGTCATCTAGGCGTAAGAGAGATTTTTTTTTTTTTAGTTATACTCTCAGACAGGTCCAAAACATAGCAAGAGCCCTGGCCCAAAAGCACCACCAGACAGTTTATCAAGGAGTTCATGTCCTAACCTACGCCCCCTATCATGGAGGCTAACCATCTGTTACTACCGCCCTATTCTAGGGCACCGGTACCGTAAAAGAATTGGGACGTGGTATGATATGGCGATGGGTTGAAAAACGAAGAGGGAGCAGTGCTGTACTCAGCTGTCAAAGCTCCCATCACAGGCCGAATGCTCGTACCATTCCTTCCCTTTGAGAAAGTCCTCCAGGCATGGAGGCACGTGGGGCATGGGGCCATCGCAAGTGACTCTGAAATGACGGAGCAACGTGAACTGGGAGAGGAAAGGCGGGAGAGAGTGCAAGCGGCGCCAGTGGAGGAGGTCGAGACGAGTGAGGCGGGAGAATTTGAGCAGCGAGGATGGGAGGTGCGGCAGGTCGCAGCGGCAGATTTGAAGCGTGGCGAGGTGAGGCGGGCACGTGAGATAGGGCTGGGAGCAGCCTCTGGTGATGTTGGAGAGGCGGAGGGTGTGCAGCGAGGAGAAGCAGGAGAGGCATGCAAGGAAGTCCCGGCAGTCAGCGTTGTCCACCACCAGAGTGGTGAGCGCCGTCAGCTGCGTCAGCTGACGGTCACTGTCATATCCCGACAGCCTTGCACAGTCCAAGTGCAGGAAGCGCAGGTTGGCAGAGCAGCCACTCTCCACCTTCCAGGACACATATCGGCTGCCAGCGAGTGCCATGTGCTCCAGGGCAGGGAAGAGATCCATGTCGACGTGGGAAGAGGGGCCTGAGTTGCCGAGCAGCTGCAGCACCTTGAGCTTGGGAAACACAGGCGCCGTCCATTCACCGCTGTCTGTGCGCCACGCGCAAAGATTCCCCTCGGAGTAACGGATGCAGTCGGCGCGCACGTCGAGCTGCTCCAGAGATGCTGCCACGCGCGCTATGAACCGAGCGACGTACATGGGATGATCGGGGCATTGCACGCGCAGGCGACGCAGGCGGGGCAGGTGGGGCAGGCAGGGTGAGTTGGAGCTGTCGCAGCGGCTGTTGCAGGCGAGGAAAAGGTCCTCCAGGCGAGTGAGACGAGAGAGGTCGTTTGCGCAGTGGAGGGATGGGAGGGAGAGCGAGGTGAGGCGGGTGAGGTGGGGAATGAGAGAGGGGAAGAATTGGTAGTGGGAGAGAGAGAGGGAGGTGAGGTTGCAGAGAGGCAGCAGTCTCTCTTCAGTAAGTCTCGAGGCAACACCTGCATTGGCAAACCCATTGCTTTGCTCCTCCTCCTCCTCATCACCATCATCACCATCATCCTCTCCCACCCCTTCCTCCTCTTCCTCCCCCTCCTCCTCCTCCTCTTTCTCCTCCTCCTCGTCATCATCATCCAGTCCCGGAATCCAGAGGTTGGAGTCGAGGCGAGTGAGGGAAGTGATGCAGGAGAAGGAAGAGGGCATGGTGAAGACGGGGAGGTGCAGGGAGAGGGCGGAGAGGCAGGAGGGCAGACCCAGCAGCAGGTCGCCAGACACGCTACTCCAGCTGCTGCCGTCCTCAGGAAGGTAGTAGCGGTGGAGGGTCTTAGGCACGTACAGAGAGAGCGAGCGGAGGGAGCAGAGGTGGGCGAAGGGGGAGTGGAGGGAGAGGCAGGGCGGCATGGGGTCTTCTGGGAGGGCGAGGGCGAGGGAGGTGAGGTGCGAGAGGAGGAGGAGGGAGGAGGGAAGGCGGGAGAGAGAGAGGGAGAGGGCGGTGAGTTGCGGGCAGCGGAGGAAGAGAGAGTCGGGGAGTTTGAGTCGGTCTGTGAGGGTCTCCCCTTGAACGCACAGCTGGTTGAGTCCCCTGCATCTCTTGATCACGGCAAACAGCCCCCTCTCCATCTCTTGATTCGCCTCCGTGCCAGCAGCCTCCCACCAGCCGTCCTGCCAGCCTTCCGGCCCATTTCCCCACCTGTATTCGGGTAGAAAACCGGGCTCTAGGAGCAAGGAGAGGGAGGTGAGAGCAGGGAGAGCGGCAGCAGCAGCGAGCAGAGAGCGCAGATGAGAGGGGCGGAGGGGGCGGGTCGTGGTGGAGACGAGGGGAAGGGCGAGCGTAGAGAGGTTGGGGTAGTGGGCGAGGGTGTGGGCGAGGGAGGCGGGGGAGGGGAGCGAGGAGAACCAGATGGGGGAGAGGTGTTCCTCGGCGCTTAGATAGTGGGTGAAGCAGGTGGAGAGGGAGCAGGGGGTGATGGGAGGGGGGAGGGTGAAGGGAGGGTGGGAGGAGGGGAGCAGGGAGAAGGGGGAGGTGGGGTAGGAGTGCATGACCCAGAAGGGAGAAACGGAGGGGAGCCACGCGGAGGAGAAGAGAGGAGAACCGTTGAGACCTGCTGCTGCTGCTGCTGCTGTCGTCTCGTGGTGGCTTATCCTGCTGGGACTGCTGCAAACAGGCTTGGAGGAGGAAGAAGTGGAGGGAGGGGGGTGGAGCAGGGGGATGGGCAGCCAGGCGAGCGTGAGGGGGTGGAGGGCGAGGGCGAAGCAGGAGGTGTGGAGGCGGCAGCAGTGGTGCCACTCGCGGCACACCAGTCTCACTCTCGCCTGCTCCACAGGACTCTGCACCCGCTGCACCACGCTTTGCAGCACCTCCCATGGCAGCTGCAACAGCTGTGTACCGTTGGGAGTGCTGCTGTCATCACTGTTGCTGATTCCGCTGTTCTTTGGATGCTGTAACACCCCTACTGGAAGTTTCTCTGGTTTTAAGTTCGGTTGGTCGTGCGAATCATGATTGTAGTCACCCGCGTCCTTGCATGAGCCTCTCACCTTCACCTCCTGTACCCCTTGCACCAACTCGCCTCCCTGCTCCGCCTCCTGCCGCCGTTCTTCCTCCTCCTGCCGACGCTCTTCCTCCTCCTGCCGACGCTCTTCCTCCTCCTGCCGACGCTCTTCCTCCTCCTGCCGACGCTCTTCCTCCTCCTGCCGACGCTCTTCCTCCTCCTGCTGCTGCTGCTCGTCCTGCCCCTCTCCTACAACCTCACTCCACTCCCACTGCTCTTCCGCCTTCCTCCCCACCTGCCTCCACCACTCCCTCTGCTCCTTCTTCTGCTCTTCACTCAACACCGATCCCTCAAACACACTCTGAATTATCATCTTTCTCTTCCTCTCCTCCTCAATCTCCCATTCTGTCTTCGGTTTCCTCCCTTGATGCCCGTTCCTTTTCTGCTCCTCCTCCTTCTCTCGCACCCACCCTTTCCCCTGCAGGTACCCTTCAAGCTCCAGGGGCACCACAACAGGGTTGCAGCCACGGTCGAAGGAGAAGTGGGTGAGGGAGGAAAAGGTCGAGAGGAAGGAGGGGAGGGCGCGGAGCGGCATACACTGAAAGAGGTGGAGGCGAGTGAGGGAGGAGAAGAGGCGGAGGCAGTCGGGGAGGAAGGGAGTGTGGGAGTGGCAGATTTGGAGCGATGTGAGGTGGGGAGGGCAGGAGAGGGCGGAGTGGTAGTTGTGCATGGAGAGGTTGAAGATGCGGAGGGCAGTGAGGGCGGGGAAGAGGGCGAGCGACGCGAGGAAGCGCGAGGAGTGCGGGTAGGACCCCACTATGAGCGTGCGCAGGTGGGGCAGCACGGGCAGGGGGGCACGTGGGGGGGAGTGGATGCGCAGGAAGGTGAGGTTCGGGAGGAGGTGCGGCAGGATGGTGGGTGCGTGCATGGGCGGGTGGGACGGCCGTGGGGAGTCATGGATGGCCAAGTGGGTCAGGCGCGGCAGCATACCCATGAATGCGAGCGTATGCTGCGGCTGCGGCTGCTGCTGCGGCTGCTGCTGCGGCTGCTGCTGCTGCTGCCGCTGCGGGCCAGTATCCTCTGGTCTTGAGGGCCCTTGCCCTGAGTGAGAACATGCATGGTTTCTCACGTTGACCAACACAAGCTCCTCAAGAAAAGGAAAGAAACACGCAGGTAGCTTATCCGCTCCACCACATGCGCCCTTCCCCACATCCCCCTCCCCTTTCGCCTCCCCCAATGCCCCCCCCCATCCTTGTACAGCCACGAGGGGCGAGCCTTGGATCTTGAGGGACTGCAGCTGAGGGCACAGCCGGCCCCACACTGCCAATGGGATGACGCCAGCTGTCCCCGTGAGAGTGACGTGGCGGAGGGAGTCTGACGAAGGGGTTGCTTCGGGGCTTGTGGGAGGTTCGGCGAGACCAGTTGCATTTTTGGTGTAGCAGAAGGTTGGATTGGCGGGACCCTCACCATTCACGTGCAGATGAGACAAACGGGGCCACTGGGTGAAGAGAGCGAGAGAAGCGGGGGATTGGAGAGGGGAGGCGAGGGGGATGGTGAGGAGAGTGAGGGAGGAGAGGGAGGAGAGGCAGGGAGGGAAGGTGCGGTGAGCGAGGAGAGAAAGAGAGGTCAGGTTGGAGAGGGCAGCAAGGCATTGATGGTGCCGCTGGTGGGGGTGTGTAGAATCGTCGCTGCTGGAGGAACAGCAGCAGCGGCAGGAAGAGGAGAGGGAGGCGTGGGGGGCAAAGAGGGCGTTGAGGCCCGTGCAGTGCCACTCGCCTCCCACGTTGGTGGTGAGCTGCTGCAGGCGCGTGAGCGACCACAGCGAGGCAGGCAGCCACCACACCACCTCGTCCTCCCCACCCCACCGATCCCCCACCCATCCGCCACCCTCCTCCTCCTCCTCCTCCCCTCTTCCTCCTCCCTTCCGCTCGCCGTTACCTCCTTCACTCTCCCCCATCCCCCCACCCCCACCCCTTTTTTCCTGCGCCGTCACACCACGCCTTTTCCTCCTCATCTCTTCCCCCCCTGTCGGCTTTGCACACACTAGGAACGTTAAAGACGACAGGGTCGGTCCGAGCCCAGCAAACAGGTCCGGCGAGAGAGGCTCGAAAAGGGGGGTGGTGGGGGTTCCAAGGGAGAGGTGGAGGAGGGAGAGGCGGGAGAGAGAGTGGAAGGGGCGACCGGAGAGGAGGAGAGGGTGGTGGGGAGCAGAGAGGGAGAGACGGAGGGAGCGGAGGGAGGAGAGGTGGGGAAGGAGATAAGGCGGGAGGTCGAAGAGCGGGAGCGAGAGGTGGGCGAGACGGGAGAGCAAGGCAGCTACTTCTTCACTCATTGTGAGGTAGTTGTTGCTACAGAGGACGAAGTGCAGTGAGCGTAGATGCGGACAAGTCGTTATAAGCTGCCTCATCTGCTCCGCCTGAGCGTGCTTGTTCCATCCCCAATCACAGAGCTTTTTCAGGTGAATCGGGCACGAGGCACTAGACGGCAGCTCATAAACAAGGTGCAGCGACCACAGGTTCACGCAAGAGCGCGCCAAGCCCATCATTTCCCCAATATGCCACGCGCGGCCTGAGTATCTGCCGGTTGTCACGGGCATGTGCAGCGCGCTCACGCGCTGCTGATTTCGCGGCGACAGCAGCTGCTCGAGTCGCGTGCGCAAGGCAACGGGGAGCGGAAGGGGCGAGACATGATGCGGGTCGATGAAGGGGCGGGACGATTCAGGGTCGTGGCAGCCGTAGTTGCAATCGTAGTACCCCCAGTCGCACATCACCGTCACGCGCCTCAGCTGCTCCATGCCCATCAGCTCGTCCACTAGGAACGGCGCTGCATGCCGCCCCTCTGCTGCTGCTGCTGCTGCTGCTGCTGCTGCTGCTGCTGCTGCTGCTGCTGCTGCTGCTGCTGCTGCTGCTGCCGCCGCCGCCGCCGCCGCTTCCGCTGCTGCTGCGCGCACATCTGCCTCGGCTGCGCCTGCGAGTGGTGCTGGTGGCGAGGATGGAGGTGGCGGGTGGGAGGGGGAGGAGTCAGAATTCCTTGCCCAGGTCTCCGCGCGCGGCGGGCCTTCCATGTCAAGGCGCGGCGGGTCGTCCGTGGTCCACAGTTTCGGCCGCGGCGGCCAGCGCGCCTCTTTCAAAAAGTCATCATGGCACCTGCAGCGCCGGGCGCACGCGTCCCCGTGTCGCAGCTTCACGAGCCGCCATTGAAGCGCGTGCGCGTCAAACAAGCACGCGAGCCCTGAGTTGCTCATTGACCCGCCGTCGTAGCACGTTCTGCTATATTCAATTTTACTCTTTATAGCTCTGTATCTTCAACTTGAAGATATATGTTACCTATAAGCTCGCCGCTCGCGAGCAGCCGCGGGAAACGCAACAGTCGCGCAAGTCCTCGCGCTGAAGAAATGACGGGGAGCGATGGGGAAACGAGCCTAGCCGATCGTAGAGGCTCGCGATTGTGGGGGAAAATACAATTTCTAGTACTAGTAGAGGCAAAGTAGAGTGACAGATACTAAAACATTAAAACAAAATGGTCGTCCATTGTTGTATAGTACGACATTGGTTGGTTGTTGGTTGGTTGCTGTGTGCGAGTCCCCTCCGTGACTTCGCCTCGTTGTCAAGCAAAATCTGACACGAAACAAGCGGCGAACGGTGAATTTCATTTACGAATCGCGACCAATCTCCAGACTCCGTGCGACCGTAGCGAAATCTGACACGCTGGCAAATCCAGGTTTGACCAGAGCGGAATCCTATTTCGCGCACCTACCGTGCCGTGTGTGATTGTTGAGGGGGGCTGGTGATGAGATTTCGGGGTTTTGAACAAACTTGAATATGTGGAATCCCTGGGTTGGGCAGTACTTCAAAAGTTTCTGTGAGGTGCAATACTTTTTTAAACGTAATTTATTAATACAACGAAAGGCACTTGCTTGGTTTGGCCTGTTGGTGCCCCCTTTCGGTGTGACCAGATGGCCGCGAAGCCAGCCTTCCACGTCCATTTCCTGGCGTTTTATCCCGACGACGATCCAAGAGCCATATTTGTCATAATATTATGCTCTAGCCTGTAGTGGGGTGCTCTATAGCGAGTACAACCCTTCTAGGGTTTGCTATTTGTATCCTCATTCTTGCTAGTGCAACCCTCCTCTTCTTCCTTTTAGATTCTCACATGCTATCAGAGCAGGTCGATCCCCTTGGATCGATCCTGTGGGTGGGCTCACCACCTCGTTGCTTCCGCTGCAACTTCCACTGCTACCCTCTGTGCCGCACGCCCCGTAGCGTGCGGCAGTTTTTTCTTCCCGCCGTGCGCCCCGTGGCGCGCGGCGGTTTTCTGCCCGCCGTGCGCCCCGTGGCGCGCGGCGGTTCTCTGCCCGCTGTGCGCCCCGAGGCGCGCGGCGGGCTTCTGCCCCGTCACTCGGCGCGTCGCCCTCGGGAGGCGCTGCGACGGGCGACGGGGACCCGCGCGTCGCCCCCCGTCGCCCGTCGTGGCCTGCGCGCGGCCCGTACAGGCTGCGCGCGGCCCGTAAGGGCTGCGCCAGGCCCGGACGCGGCCCGTACGGGCTGCGCCAGGCCAGCGCGCGGCCCGTACGGGCTGCGCCAGGCCCGCGCGCGGCTCGGGCAGCCTGCGCGCGGTTCGGGCGGCTGTGCCAGGCCCGTGGGCGGCCCTTTCCTCGCTGCCCCTGCCCTCCCCGCTGTCCCCCGTGCTTCTACTGGCGCCCCACCCCTCCTACAGCCCGTTCTCCTGAATTAGGGTTTGGGGGTGAGGGGTATGGGGGTGAAGCCACTGTGTGCCGTTCCCTGCTCCTCCTCCTCCTCCGTCTCCCTGTGCTGCAGCTGCCGCTGAGGGGGGGTGGACTTGTTGGAGCCGTTGGAGTGGTACTAAGGGGGGGTGAAGGGGGAGTGGAGCTAGCGGTGTAGCAGCGGGTGTGTGTCAGGGGGAGTGGGATAGTTTGGGGAGGTTGAAGGGGGTGGCCGCCGTGAAGCCAGCAGCTCCAGTCGCCCGTGAGACCGTTGCGCCAGTCGCCCGTGAGCCCGTTGCGCCAGTCGCCCGTGAGCCCGTTGCTCCAGTCGCCCGTGAGTCCGTTGCTCGTCTGCCGCTACTTTTAGCCGCGGAGCCAGTTACTCCAGTAGCCCGTGTGCCAGTTGCTCCAGTTGCCAGTGTGCCAGTTGCTCCAGTTGCCCGTGTGCCAGTTGCTCCAGTTGCGCCGTGTGCCAGCAGCTTCAGCTGCCGCCCACTACCTCCTCTCCTCTCATAGTCTCTTTCCTCCTCCTCACTTGCCCGTTGTGACTACCACTAGCTTTGCTCATAATTGTGAACTTTAAACTATTGCTTCTTGAACTTGTGCTCAGAATGTGTGGTGACATTGTGATCCACCCTGAGCTTGTACTGCTTTGCTTGCTCTGCTGATTACACCCCACTTTGGCTATGGGGGTGTGTCAGAATATTATGCTCTAGCCTGTAGTGGGGTGCTCTATAGCGAGTACAACCCTTCTAGGGTTTGCTATTTGTATCCTCATTCTTGCTAGTGCAACCCTCCTCTTCTTCCTTTTAAATTCTCACAATATTTCCTGAGTAGGCCCCACTCCATGTTGATGTTATAACCGAGGATCGAAGTGAATAGGATAAAGTCGCCAAGTGTGAAAGGAGAGAACTGTGAAGTCTCTGTAATGACCTTGTTAATATATTGAAAGAGAACAAGATGATTATAAGATAGAAGTACAAGGATATAAATAGTAATCCTAGCTAGCCATGTACTCTGAGGGGTACATTCACTTATTAACTGAATTGCATTGCTACAGTAACCACGACTATTGCCATTCTAGACAATTACCATGTTGCATTTCGCAACTGCCTTGTGCGGTTACTGGGCAGTCAAGGGTCACGACCGTTGACTGTCTTCGACTGTTGACCTTCGGGTGACCCTCGACCTTCCGCGTGCTCTATATGAGCTATTGCGGTACTAGTACAGGCGTTCACTTCATTATGGAGTGACGCAAGAGTGGAGGACCTTCGGGAATGTTTATGATAACCTTTCGGTTATTCCAACACTCCCCTCCATTCCTGAAGGTGGGCCACGTGGGACTTCTTGGCGATCCCGCAAAGGTTGGCGTAGTGCTGGAACTGTTGACGTGGCAGTTTCTTTGTCAGAAAGTCGGCTGCCATGTCACCAGTCGGGCAGTACGTGAGTTTGACCTTGCCCTTGTCGATTTCGTCCTTGACGAAGAAGTAGCGAAGGGCGATGTGTTTCGTGCGGTTCACGACGCCGGGCTTGTTCGCGATCTAGATCGCGCTCTGGTTGTCGCAGAAAAACGTGAAGTGCCCGTTCATCGTTACTTTTGCTTCCTGCAGGAGCTCCATCAGGTACAATCCTTCGCGAACAGCTGCGCTGGCGGCGATGAACTCTGCTTCAGCTGACGAAATGGTGATGAGTTCCTGCTTCTGAGAGTTCCATGAGATGAGTCCAGCAGGTTGAAGTTGAAAAATGAATCCTGTGCGGGAGCGTCTGTTGTCAACATCTCCCGCATGGTCAGCGTCTATGTAGCCGTGCAGCTGCAGAGTAGCCGTTAAGTTAGCTTCGTAGGTGAGGCCGACGTCGGGAGTAGAAATGAAGTATTGAAGTGCGCGGCGTAGATCCTCTAGATTCTCCCCTTCAGGTCGCTTCATGTACTGAGCGTGGTGGCTTGTGACGTAGGAGAGATTGGGCCGGCATGTGACGGTGGTGAACAGAAGGCACCCCTGCTGCTGCTGATAGAGCCGATGATCCTCGAGAGAGAGGGGCGTGGTATCCGGTTCGTGCGTAGGAGGAGGAGTGCGAAATGGGGTGGAGAGGTTAATAGGTGCGATGTCGAATTTCTTCGCGAGTGTTTTGGCATATTTAGCGGCGGAGAGATGAATGGAGGAGGCAGACTGGGTGATGTTGAGACCCAGGAATTGAGTGACGTCGTGGTTGACAGTCACCTCCAGCTGCTCCTTGATATCTGCTTCGAACTGGTCCAGCAGCTCCGTGTCGTCGCCGGTGTAGAGGAGGTCGTCGACGTAGGCAACGAGGAGGATAAATTTGCCGCGCGACTCTTTTCTGTACATTCCGAGATCGTGTGGCAGTTGTTGGAAGCCGAGCTTCGTGAGCACGGTGTGCAGGTACTGCTGCCATAGACGAGGTGCTTGCTTAATTCCGTAGAGGGATTTCTGGAGCAGGCAGACCGCGCCGTCGTTCTCTTCAAAGGCGTGCGGCTGCTCGACGAAGATGATTGCGTCGACCGGAGCGTACAAGAATGCACTGCCGACGTCGATATGACGGAGTGGGCACTGCTTGACGGCGGCGATGCAGATGAGAATTCGCACTGAGGTGTGCCGCCCAACCAGTGCGTAGGTGAGATCTAAGTCCACCAGGTGAGTTTGTTCAAAGCCGCGCACCACCCATCGCGCTATATATTTATCGATGGAGCCATCCGCCAATGTCTTGATGCGGAATACCCATTTTCCGCTGAGAAATTTTCTCCCCTTCGCGGATGTCTGGGGAACGAGCTTCCAGGTGCCACGGCTCTTAAGCGACGCGATCTCCTTGGCCATGGCTGCCTTCCATTTCTCACTGTCGGGGCCAGAGAGAGCTTGGCGAACGGTGGTGGGTTCCTTGGGGGAGGTGTGGCGAACAGCGACGGCGAGCCCAAGGATCCGGAGACCTGTTTCGTTGGTCTTTTCGTAGTGCAGGCGATCGTAGTCATGGAAGCTGGTTACTTCGACCACGTCGTCGTCACTTTTGTTGCCGGGGCGGATGGAGTCTTGCGAGGTATTTGGCGGTGGTAACATGTCATCTGGTGACTGGCGGGCGTCGCTGGTGAAGTTATGGGCTGCGCGAGTTGTATCATCGGGATCAGGTTGGTGTAGCGGGATGAAAGTTGGAGTCTGGAGTGGGCTTGTAAGGGGGATGTCAGGTGCGCTGTCAAACTGGGAGACATTTGCTTCATCCACATCTTCCGCCAGGTCAGCTTCATCGTGTGGAGTTGCGAAGCTGCGGTGTCCCTCGAAAACCCTTTCTGGTTCCCTGTCAGCTTCGCGGTGTTCGTTGAACAGTGGCAGAGTCAGCTTCTCGTAGAAGATGCAGTCACGTGATTTCGTCACTTCGTGTGTCGCGTAGTCTATCATGATCCACGCTTTGTATTCCTTTTCGATGCCGAGGTGGATGCCCCAGCGAGCCCGGTCAGTGAACTTTCCGGTCCTTACGGTGTGTGGCCTGTACTGTACCATGCAGCCAAACACCCG